TCATTTTAATATACTAGTAAGAGCTGCTCTCGTGAAAATAGGCATCGGGCAACTATCACATGAGGTGTTTCGTTGATCACCTGTGAAACGAGTTACGTGCTTAACAATAATCAAGGTGTGATAGCTACAGGTACTTGTTCTAAGAATGAACGTTCTCTGGTGAAATAAGGTTGGCCATCCTAATACCTTCTCAGCTGGTTCAAAATTAAAACTTTTTGCGGGATGATTCACACCTGAAGTAATGGACTTGACATTGGCGTATAGTTGATGTTAGTAAGTGAACTGGTGTGGAAGTTCATAGAACGGAGTAAGTTCATCACTAGTATTAGGGCTGAATTGCGAACGAAAATTTTGTTTTTTGATAAGAGAAAGTGATGAATGAACTTATATCAATTCCGAGGTTTATAAAAGTGGAGCAATAAGGGCTGAGTTGTGTTCAAAAGAATTTATTTCCATCCTTGATAGTGTCGAGCTCGGTCAACTGATTTGGAATGATTTATAGTCCATATCAATTAATGGATTCTGTCAATATTGCATGATTAGAAGACTTAGGGTATTCCGTGTTGATTATTCTATTATAGGCATGTGCATCTAGATTTTGATAGTGGTATATTGGTTCGTGATCTTGTGCTCAAGGCTATTTTAGGTGTGTGATTTGTCTGATATATAGGCATGTGCATCTAGATTTTGATAGTGGTATATTGGTTCGTGATCTTGTGCTCAAGGCTATTTTAGGTGTGTGATTTGTCTGATACTTCCATCTGAAACTTCATGTGCAATATATGGTATCTTATTTAAAGTTGGTAAGAGATCTTCTCAAAATTGGAGGGAACAGTTTTCTTATGACGTGTGCTGTGTTGGTCAAATTTTTGAATTTTTAATTCTATGTGCCAAATCGTCTTGTAACCGACCTCAGTTACTGTGATTTAAGTTTCCTATTTCATCCATATCACCTTTGCTTCTCTCTCATATCAATCATTATCTCTATTTTGTTCATCTTTGTTTATGTGTGATTTTACACCATATTTATATAGTATCTAGAGCGTTTTCATTTCATTATTGGTGTATAAATTGCATATTTATGCTTTAATTCTCTATTTGTTGGAAAGGTATTACATGTGCTTGTTTTGTAGATATTTTCCACATATTTGTAGAGCTTTTGGCGATTGGAGGCGCATGGTGAGTACCTAGGAGCCCCGGGATGATGATAGATCGATGCACGGATGAGAAAAATGGAAGAAACGAGCAAAACAGACAAAAACGTGCATGCTGGGGTGTGACACGGGCATCATGCCCGTGTCAGAGACTATGTCACGTAATTGGGAGGATTACGAAGCTACAGACCTGACACGACCCGTGACACGACCCATGACATGGGCGTGTCTGGTCGTGTCGCGCGCAGGCTGTTTTTTATATCTTACTTTTTTGGATAAGGAGAAGAGTTTTGGACATTATAAAATACATATTAAACCTATTTTGAGGGAGGTAGAGAACACAAGGAGAAGGGCTTGGAACACAGAAGAGAAGCAATTGGGAAGAAGAGAAGATCAACCACAAGATTTCTAGTTTTTCTTTCTCTCTTTTGAACTTATTTTCTCATGATTTTCTAATATGTCTATGTATTTGAATTCAAACATGAGTAGCTAAATTTTCTTGATTCTAAGACATGGTAGTAGATTAATAACTTGGATTTTTTGGATGATTTATAATAGTTGATTGTTTTTTTTAACCCTATTCAAATTTTTTGTTCTTATTTCATGAATTGCAATTGGCCACTACTTTTACATGTTTGATGATATTGTTCATAATTCGAGTGATGAGTTCAATATTAGATCTTTAATATTTGACAAAATTTATTTGCTTGAATCGAGAGATTAGTAGATAGTTGTGAGGATTTTGGGTCTTTAAATCTTTTTGGAGTTGAATTGCATGTGTTGAGTGGAGACGCTAATATATGTGATTTAATCTACGGTTTTATCGATCTCGACAGGGACGATAAGCTAAATGTGTGATCGTCTTATAGGGTAGAGAAAGAAAACATTTAGTTGTGATATTTTTGAAGGAACCCAACTATTAATTGAACTCAACGTCTTAGAATCTATCGTTCCCATATATTTTCTCACGTGTTGATCTAGCTAGTTCTTTATTTTTGCTTTATTTCCTTTCATTTATTTTCTTATTTTAGTTAATCAATCTCAATTACGGTTGTCTACATAAAGTTGACACTATCATAATCTTGTACTTGATATATTAATTATATGGTCTCTTGGGATACGACCTTGCTTAATCAATCTCAATTACGGTTGTCTAAATAAAGTTGACACTATCATAATCTTGTACTTGATATATTAATTATTTGGTCTTTTGGGATACGACCTTGCTTGCCACATACTACGAGCGAAGCCATACACTTGCGGTCAAGCTTTAAAAATATAGGCGAACAAGTTTTTGGCGCTGTTGCCGGGGACCAATATAATTATTTATATCAATATTATGATAGAAAGTGTTGGTTTTAATTTAGACATTTTTTGTATATCTTGCTAACATTTTTTTGCTTTTTATTTTTTTATGATGGACGAGGATGAGATAGACTATGACTGGCGCAATGATCCCAAATACTCGGAAGAAGATAAAAAGTGATATGAGGAGTGTTTGTTCTATCAGTTGGAAGAACTTAAAAAAGTTGAGTTGGAGTCGAAGCGTCGTAGGAGAGAACTCGAGGAAAGAGGCATTGGGTGTGATGAATGTGGTTTGATGTTGTCACACACACCGGGAAATTGTCCTTTCTCAAGTTTACCTCCTATATCGCAAGAAGAGCTCGATTACATTCCTCCATGCCTTTTGCCATTAGACAGTGCGCCAGAAATTTCTATCGTTGTCGAACAACATGAAGAAGAGAAGGATGCCATCTTTGAAGTTAAATCCCCAAAATTTATTCTCCCTGAATGGATGATTCAAGAGAAGTTCTTCAATTCTGAGTGTTTAAAAGTTGAATTTATTATTCTGTATGATGATGAGATTGAAGTCTTCGTCATTCAGTTTGAGAGAGATTGTGATGCTAAACATGGTGAACATGAAAAGAACACAATGCTCTATTTTGGATTGAGTCCTTACTGAGAGAAAGTCAAAATTAAAAGGATGAGAAGATCGTCAAAATCATTATTTCAAGTTCCTTAATTGATATATGCGTCTGGCTGAAGACGTTAAACTTAGCGCTTGTTGGGAGGCAACCCAATGTTTACTGCATTACTTTTTTTATGTTTTTAGTTAGTTTTATTTTTTGTTTGTTTGATATTTTGTTTTTCTTTCTTGTAGAACATTACTTGGAGAGATTTACATGACGAAAAATATTTTT